TACAGTGACTCGCCAGAAACTTCGGGAGCTTGGTTGGGAAGTTTTAATGCATCCGCAATACAGTCCGGACTTGGCACCAAGCGATTATCATCTTTTTCTTGCATTGCAAAATTTCTTTAATGATGAAAAATTGGAATCTAGGGAGGATTGTGAAAATCGACTACTAGAGTTTTTTGCAAATAGAGACCAGGACTATGAGAGAGGCATTTTGAAGTTACCTTTAAAATGGCAACAAATCATACAACAAAACGGTGCATATTTGACCCAAATCGGACAATCCGAAGCATGTTAAATAAAGTCCTGAAGTTCATATAAAAATAATGGATTTATTTTTCCCCAAACTAATATATATATACATCATATACACATCTACATCATATTCCATCTACTGGAAATAGTGATGCCAATATTATTAACTGTTTATTTATTTACACAAGAAACTCGGCTAAAATAAATTAACAGCCGAATTCAATTGACTTTTAGAAGAAAATCTTATTTTTTCTATTTATTTATTTATTCTACTTATACAAGAAACTCAACTAAAACAAATTGACAGTCGAGTTCAATTGACTCTTAAACCTTAAAATAATTAATATTAAAACTTAGTATAAGTGTAATAAAACAAATAAGAAGGAAAAAAAAGAAAAAAGCAGGTAGACAACTAGCATACAGCCACAACCGCAACCGGACAGGACCAAATTGCAAATGAACCCCTAAGCCATCGCAAACATGCATAAGCTTGGCAACCGATAATAGTTAACAACAATTAATTTTCGACTCATAATGACTTTTTAAGGTTAAGAGCTAGTTTAAGTAAGACATAGGTAAATTATGCGTATTAAGCAATGTTGCTTTAATGGACTTTAAAGAGTCCGATAATGAGAATAAGTGATAGACATCATTTAGGTTTTTGCAAACAACTCTGAACCGAATTCATCCAAGGTGATGAAGTTAAATAAAACCCCGAAGGATCTATTGCGCGAATAAGAACTTATCCATCTCACTGAATAGAAAGAGAAGCTAGAAGCTTGGAGTTTCAAGATAAGTAAGTTATGGTTGACCAAATTAAACGCTTTGCTTAAATCAGTGCACATTACATCTGTGCGAGAACCACTTGAAAAAGCCTTGAAAACATGACAAGTAAACTTTAACAAATTGGTGACCGTAGATCGCCCTTTCCGAAAGTCATGCTGGTGTGGAGAAATATACGAATTAATGGCAAAGGCCAAATGCTGAGTCACAATTCGCTCAAACAGCTCAAAACTAATACAAAGTATATAAAGGGAAGTAAAGAGAAATAATAATAACTCATGTATAAATAAATAAGAAAACAAGAAAAAACATATACACATCTAGCACAGCGGCACACCCGCAACCGATATACATCTATGTTGCGAGTGAACTCCTAAAACATTACAAACATGCAAAAGCTTGGCAACTCATAAGAGTAACCAACATCAGTTAAATTTGGAATCACAGTGAGGTATTAAGGTTGCAAGTTGGTTTAAATACGACATAGGCAAAGTCGCGCATTAATCGAAATCGTTTTGATAGACTTTAAATACAATATTGAGATTAAGTTATAGACAACATTTAGGTTTCTTCACACAACTCTGAACGGGTTAAAGAACTCATAATTATATTTACATTGACTCAGTTTAATGAAAAAAAAGTGACGAGGGAAGCGGTTAGCGACATTAAACCGTATCTTATCAAGTAATGTGGACGAATCGATAATATCAACAATTAATTGAATTAGGAAGGAAACACTAAGAATAAGTCTACGTTTCTCAAGGGATGGTAAAGCTAACAGATGCCATCTATTTTTACAAGGAGGCAGAGAGGCAAAGAAGTCCCAACCGAAATTGCTAAGATAATATGCGCAACCTAAGCACATACAAGTCCCTCAATCCGTTTTATGAAAGCCAGTGGTCGTCGGCTACCTTACCAGCCCAAATCTTTAGTTGATCTGTCGCCGGTTGCTGCGGGAGAGTTGAGGCGTACTCCTCTTGTTGGTACGTTCAACCGAGCATGAGTGCTAAAATCGACGGCAAGTGGTAACATCAGGCACGTGATCGTGATATCTTATTGGTTTCGTACTTCTCCATATTATACATATTTACATATTGAATAAGGGGGAAAAATCATTTATTTATTTATTGGTACCGGCATCGACTAAGTGTACAGTGTTTTTTAACGTTCTAGTTTTGGCGAAAACACCAAAGAATCAGATTATTTCGATTTAGAAAAAGGAAAGTTTGCGGATGAAGATTAAGTAGAACCATAGCAAAGTTTTATATAAGCTTTATCTTAGTTTATCTTAGGATTAGTTATATCAGAAAAGCAGGTTGCATAAAGAAACTTATAGTAGCAACTGTCGACAAGAGTCTATAAAGAAGCTCTATAGTACGACTACACTATTATAACTGCAGAGATGTTGTGCAAAAGTTGACAGAAGTAGATGCTTCACAAGAAATTTTCTCCCTTTTTTCCACAGGTGCCATAACGCTGAATATTCTACTATGAATTTTCTTGCACGCGACAAAATTAATGCAATTTTGAGAGTTCCGTGATTATCGTCCGTATACAGTGAATAACTTCACAATTTTGAAAACTAGTATTTTGTGTAGAGGAGCATTAAAATTATCGAATTTAACCATTGTGTACATTGGTACTTCGTATTTCTTTATTATTTTTGCCAAGAGATTTCGCTGATCAAATTACATGCAAGCGCTTATAAGGGTAGATACAGAGGTACATAAAGTACCGCTTGGGAACTTTGGCAAATTTTCATTGACTTGCTTCCAACACAGATCTGTGCGATCTTTTTTTCTCTTCTTCCTGTTTATTTACACATGGATTTTTTTCTTTTTATATTCGTGTTATATAAAAGCTAATTTCTAATATTAGTGTAAGAGGTATTCTTAAAAGTCCACTTTACTCGTTTTCTCAAATGTGACTGAATTTCATGTGGAAATGAATTAATAAATATTTCAAATGGTTGGTTTCTTGTTTTGCTTCACTGACGATTCATTTTACATTTTCTTCTTAGTGTTTATTTCCAATTATGTCACTATTCCCAAACACCAATGATATTACGAATAATGTGTTGCCACCGCAATAGACATATTTGAGCCTGAGGTCACTTCGTGAAACACTTTGTAGTATGTTCAAAAACGGCCAGTATGTTTATACCTTTAGGAAAATGCTCAAAAGGGTATATGAGGATCAAAATTCGTATGCCAAGTTACCTAAGTCTGTTCAAGCACTCGCCCCTAACTAAATAGCAACCAGGCTGAGCGCCGTTTGCAAAGTGCCTAATTCACAAAAACACAGATTGGTTAATAGATACTTTTAACCAGAACATCAATTATTTGAATTTCAATAACCTATAGTTGGCTTAGATTATTGGCCTTTTACATATGGTGTTTGACTTTTTTGCTTATTGTAAGTGGAGAATAAAATTATTTTGTTAAACGTGCAGAGAAAAGCATAAAATACATAAAATACATTATTAAGGAAGCCTGTAAGTAGAAGTAGCCCATTATATTATATATATATATATATATATATATATATATATATATATATATACATAATATACCTGCAGACTCAAAATCGATCTATTCGTCTTTTATTTTTCTAACACTTCTTATACAAATGTATTCTCAAGTTTTTTCGTATTGTTGTAATATCACTTCATTCTCTTTTATATAATTTTGCTTTTATTTACGTTTGTATGATCTTGTTGTTGATTGTACCATATTGGTTGTTTACAAGCAAACAAGTGTCAAGTTGCTCTTTATATTTTCGGAATTCCATCTCTGTTCAACATACCAAAAAAAATAAAAAATATATATATTTTTTTTTGGGAATAAATATCGAAAGATGAGAGCTATACACAATCAAAATTAAATTCCTTTTACGTTAGGTCATCATGATACATAATCATTATCCATTTAGTAATTTTTATTGAAACGGTTCCTGCCGATTTCTGCCAAATTCAATAAATATATGATTTAAACTATCCAGGCAATGTGTTATATTTGACATAATGTAGTATCGGTATATGAAGAGAATATGTGTCTCTTTTCTCTTCATCGGATATTATACAAGTTGTTTTGGCTTTGTGTTCAATTTAAACCAAATTTTCAATTTCAAATTTGACTTCTGGAACATATGAACGCTTAAAAATATTATTAAAAAAAAGGTTACTTCGAACTTAGCTATGTTTGTCACATAAATTTTAGAGAATATTGGTATAAAAACTGAAGAAGTAAAATGGAATACTTATGCAAGAACACGTTCAACGCAATTTTTTTTAGTTAAAAGTTTTGAACAGGCTTACTATGTTTTAGAAAGGAAGTATTGTAGGACATTAAATATAAATTTCATTTTAGTTTTTATGTAAAACAAGTAAGAAAATTATAACTGGCTATGGCCAAATCTTTTGTGTACCATTTTTATCTTCAAACAAATAGAAGAAACATGGAAAATTTTTTCTATTTGCTTACAGCATTCATAGAAAATGCCAAGGTTTATTGTGGCAGTTTATAAGTAATTCCCAAAAAATCCACATACCCTGCACCGATATATTCATTTTATTAAAACGAAAGAAGTTTCAGAGACCTTACAAACTACATGTACTCTTGACCTGTATCAAATTTTAAGCCCACCTTAGTATGTCCTTCTCATGTGTGATGTCTACGGTGAATATTCTGGTAGCCGAAAAAAATGCAGCTACCGACTTCAAATGTAAAAAAATCATTGAAAGTTCTTGCTTGCAATTTGATATGGAAATGAACCAAATCTGCCGAAGGACCGTAAACTTACATACACTGCATCCATTCAACAAATATAATATACTCCAGAATTGGATTTAAGCTGAGAAAATATTTTGTATTTTAAAGTTATTTACTGACCACTTTTATTTAATGTAAAATAATCAACAAATCAAGAAAAAAAATTTATGTGTTTTCTTATATATTTTTTCATTTAAGTTCCCACATATTTATCACCGATAGAGACACACTGTTCAAATATCGATTACTTTCCTGAAATAGACGATGAAAAGATATCTAATGAAGATGCCACCACGCGAGTACATTTAGCTAGATCATGTGTTGCAATGTTTATTCTTAGGTGAGTAAATAAACATTTGGCTAGAAAAATACATTCTTCCTTGTTGTACCTGATATGCTATGGTTTATACATATATATTAAACAATTAAACTTATGTGTACATAAGAGTTATTCCAATTATATTTTCTTATTACTATCTTACATGAATTACTTTATTTACTCCTTAATTGGGTAATAATTCTATGGAACTCCAGCTAAAAATTCGATATGTACTATTAATTTAAGTACATAAAATATCTTTTTTTATTATTATTGCACATTACTGTTGCAATACGGATAATAAAAGCTAACTCACCTAAGTAGTCTTTGAAGATAAGACACTTCGTTTATGTCTATATTTGGATTTATGTTTAGAATCAGACACAGTGATAAAGTGCAAAGAGAGAAAAAATATGCGAAAAGCTTAATTACAGGACTACTACGATAAAAAGCGGGCTATCAACTGTATTGACTCGCGCAAAAAAAGAATGTGTAGTACTTATTAAAACTAAATAAATAAAAACAAAACAGAGCTAATAAGAAATGAAGTATAACATTTGGAATGTTAATAACAGTCAATAATATTTCCAAAAATAAAAGTAATGATATCATCAAAAGCAGCACCAACATTCAACTCTATAAAAATAGAAACAAAAGTAATACTAAAGCATCGCGAGAAACGTGAAACTCTTTTGATAGTTTAAAATTGCTGGGGCTAAGTTATGTAAAGCCAGCATCAATTAATAATCGAAGCCAAGACAAACAGACAGCTGTAAAAGCACCATCTTATTCTAATTTATTCAAGTAAAATTAATTAGGTGGATAAAATGTATGGATTATTAAGTCCTAAAAACAGTGAGAACAGAAAATTAAATACAAAATTTTAACCAGAACAGCTTTTAGGGAAAGCTTGCAGGAATAGATCGCAAATGAGAACATTCGTCTCAAAGAAGAAAAACCATCGACCAAGAAAAAACATCGAATTAATTTAATTTCGAAAGGCGGAAAACGATAAGACGTCATTTTAAAAATCGGGTAGAGCGAGTCAAAAGCTTCTTAAAGTTGACGTAAGTGGCAATTACACGAGTGGGTTGCATAGTCTCAAATTTGCGTTTGACATGCCGGCATAAGCGCGCTAATTGGTGAGAGGTTAATACCTCTGCTGACTTTTAAAACTAAATTGTTTATTTGGAGTAATTTTTTTGAATACTTTTTCAATAATTTCTTTTTAATTAGCTTTCCAAAAATCTTGTTTAGACCTCAGAAAACTAACAGGTCAATTGGGTCATTCACGCCTAATGGTGGTTTGCTTAGCTTAAAAATACCAATATCTTCAGCTGATTTCCATACCTCGATGAGGATTATCTCTTAAAACTGTATTTGTGCGACGAATTCATCGAAATCTGGAGTTTTTAATGCACTAAACGTCGTCGTCAGTCCATTCGCGTTGCCGCGGAATTAACCATATGCTCTACAACAAAATAAGTACAGTGAGTCTCATTAATATTGGGTTTTTCCCCTCGACATAAAGTAAGCCATTGTTAAACCTAGTCCATTATTCAAACATATAATTTTTTGTACTATTTTCTACTACTAGGGAATACATATTAAAGTATAAAAAAAAAAAACAGACATGAACCCTATCAAGAACATGTGAGATGAATTAGACCGCCTTGTGCGAATACACTCAATCCCTTCCGTCCAAGACCTTGAAAAACAGACGATAAAAGGCATGATGTTATTAAACAAAAACGATACACCACCAAATATTAATTTTTAGTAATATGCTGTTTTTTATCTTCGAATCCGTTCTTATGTGAAAAAAACCCAATATTAATGGAGCTATGATTTTTGAGTTGTTGAAGGTATTTAATACGTATTCCCTAGAAGTACAAAATAGTAAAAAAAAATTTTATATTTAGACAATGGCCTAGGTTTAACCAGCGTTTACTTTTTGTCGAACGAAAAATCCCAATGTTAATGGGACTCACAAGAGGTTATGATTTGTTAAAAATTTTTCTGCGACAGCATATGTTTTGTTGAAAGATAAAGTATACCACCACGATACTTATGTGGCGGAATGACATTGCGTTTTTTAGACTGTACTGTTCCGTATATAATCTCTATGCATTTCTTTTCCTTGCGGTTATATAAGTTTAAGTCTAACTGCGAACTTTTTTTTCTTTCCGAGTACTTTGTAGGCACTTTAATGAAAATGATCATTTTTTCCTCTTCTGTTGTTATTCAGAAAACTAACAACCGCAAATTCGCTGAGATGTATAAAAAAGGCTCAGTGTGAACACAGGGTTCTTCGTTTGAGCCTTAGTAACGTTAGGGTTAGACTTGATATATGATACTATTAGTTATTTGTTTTAATGTTTGTTTGATTAAACTTCTTTTTAAGTTTGCATGTTATACGTCCGGCACGTTATTTTTTCTTTAAAGTTGTATTAAAATATGCACATTACTCGTCCGCCACGCAGGATAAAACAGAACAGCGAGGAGTAAATTCCGTTGTGTAAAATAGTACGTGATAACTGTCATAAGAAGGAATTGATGAGTGTGGGAGTAAAAACGTGTAAAAAGAGTAGGTTTATAATTTGACTGTCAACGCTTATATATCTTGATGACATGATTTAAAATAAGAAAAGATTGCGCTCTTAAATTGTGAGACCGCAAAATGTCAAATATGTTGTGATCACAATGACTATGTGTACTCATTTTGCGAAGTGTGGAATGGGGAATAGAAGTGGTAACATTTGGACAAACAAATAGGATGTGATCAAGACTCCACATGCACATAAAGGCCATTTCACTATGTTAATTTTGAATAGATGATCATTATATATCGTGTAATTAAACAACAGCCTGTTAATAAGACAAATAATGTCACGCCTGAGCCCGGAATCGATAAACAAAATATGATTTGTGGAAATAAGGAGAGTAAGTGACGACCATAAGGTAAATTACACCATCGCTATTGCCAAGAAAAAACTAAGTGTTCCTTGCCGATTGCCCCTAAATTTGCAGAAATCAGTGCACAATCATTATATTGTGATGGTCTCTAAGATGCAATTTTATCTACGGTGTTGTTGCAAAGAATGCACACACGACTACACACCCAGAGAAAATGAAAAACGAAATGTATCAGATATGAGGTTATAAAGTAAAAATCTGATATTTAATATGCAGGCATGAGTTTTACCTGAGGGAACTGATTGTAAAGCGGATAAGATAGATTTACTGTCTGGCACTGTAAAGAAATTCTTCTCAGGTTGAGTATTTGCTAAGTGGATGGCTTCTAGCCTACAACGTCGGCCTTAGATCCATCAGTAAAGATGGAGGAAAAATGTTTCCATATGGTATTGACCAAGTTCGAGTAGCGGAGGTGTACCTCTGCCGAAGTAACTGTAAACTTTTGAACCGTTAGGAATTAATTACTGGTTGAAAATATTGAGAACTAAACGGAATTTTGACTAAGCTATGTAGATTAGTTCTTAGAATGCTGAAATTATTACTTTTGTCAGCTAAAATTTTAAAAAAGGAAGGAGAGGAATTGAGTTATATAAAGTCGTAAGAGAAAGGTAAGGCCGGATGATTTCTAGATGAAAAATTTGCGAGTAAACGAAATCTTTCTTGCAGACGCATAATATTTGCAATTTGTTCTCAGCCAAGTGTGTGTGTGAATTTCATGCGATCAACAGCCAAACGAAGGCATTTCCGTTGGATTCTGCGTAGTTCCAGAAGGTCATTATTTGAAATGTTTAATAAGACCGAACAAGTATATTGTAATTTTGGCCTGACTATTCCGTGTTACATTTTAATCATACAAAAAGGGTCGGAGCTCCATGAAATCCCAAAAATAAATTTTAGTACCATAATGAGTTGAAAACATGGTTTGGTAATTTTGTCAATGTGAGCAGCACGAGAATATTTTGAGTGTAGAACAAAGCCTAAAACATCGAACGTTTTATCAAACGAAATAGAAGAAACATGTATGAGAAGAAGAGCAACTGTAGGATTTACCTTTTTTTTGAAACGACCTTTCATTTGATCTTATTAACTGAAACTGTAAGTTGGAGTGGCGCAAGACGACAAGAAATAGTATTGAGGGCAGATTGCAAATTGCGCCTACACTAATCTGGATATGTATGGATTGTCAATTAACATGTTCTTATAGAGGAGGAGGTTATATAATAAATTACAGAATTTGGTAGGGAGATTCAAAAAGAGAACAATAGAAAGTAAAATGTTAATATTGACAGAATCAAACGTTCAAGTTAGCAGGCAATAAGAATGTGGTTCTTAGCAAACGCTGTATTTATTGGTGACCACAAAGCGACAATGTTTTCTTTTGCAGATCTGAAAGGTCTGAACTTAATTGGAAATTGCTGAGGGTGCATTTAGGTTCGAGATACCAATCTAAACGTGAGTATAACACTTTCTCGAAAACTATTTTAAGGATGGGAACTAAGACAATACACCCGTAGGAATTAGGATTAATTGGCGAGCTATTCTTTTTTGTTAATGCGAAGGTTTGGAAGTCGTACGAGGAAGAGGGTATATAGCCGGCAATTAGAATATTGTTAAATTCTTTTAGTAGGATTGATCTGCTTTCATTATTGAAAATTTTGAGGTGGTTGTTGCCATCTAAGCCCGGAGATGAGTCATTTGACAGATTATTATTTATCGTGTTCAGGGGGAGATATGTCACTGAAAAAAAATTAACATTCCTCATCAAGTAATACAGAGGGGATTATAGGAGCAGAAGGTTCAGCAAGCTTGTCACAGAACTCGTTAAAGAGCTGTGTGGGTATGGAAGAACGAGAGGAAGTGATACCTCCAAAAATTCTCACAGTACGCAAAAGATCTGAAATTTTACATATTGCTATCGAGATTTTTATAAACTTGTTTCCAGTCTTTATGTTTTTCCAGCCTAAGAGCAGAAGTATGCTCCTTTCTAACATCGACCAAAAATTTGAAATTTAGTCTACAAGGAGATCTTTTGTATTTATTAACAGCGAGTCTAAGTTTGGTAACGACTCGATTGCATGCAGCCTTCCACCAAGAGAGAGAGAGAGAGAGAGAGAGAGAGGAAGAGAGAGAGTTTCGGCTCAGAGCATTGGTGAAAGACCTTGAGAATCTATCAAAAAAGCAACTCGAAGAGGGATTGGTTTAGATGGTATTTGAAATGTTACGGATAGTATTGTTAAATAACGAAGAGTTTAATATACTTTGGAACATGGGTACGTGAGTGGCAACGGATAGTAGCATGCAAATGAAAACTAATTTCGATTCGACAGTGAGAACGTTTTTATAGAAGGACAAGTTTTCGAATTAGCTGAATGTTCACCCTTATAATTGATATATTTGTTAGCTTGAGGCCAATTTGAAGTACATTTATGGCTTATGCCACAACAAGGGCAACTTTCAACGCTAGCACACTCTACCCGTGTCGCCGAAACGCCAACATTTCCGGCAACGTAAAATTAGTTCGATGGCGAGTTTGATTGGGAACATAATCCTTTCCAAACAGATGTGAGAAGGTAAAACTTTTCCGGAAAAAGTTATCCGAATTGTGTCCCAAGGCACAAGCGAGTTAGAGTTTTCATCAAATTTATGGAAGTGCAAGACTTCCGGAACTTCGCAGAAGTTAGAGAGGGATCCGAATTTAAGAAGGATTTTAGGATAGGCAGTTGAGTAAATTTCAAGTTCAGTGAAATCACAGGGGATGGCAGCAACCCTACGGATTTCACAGAGTTTGGACGGAATATAAACGATACAATTATTGTTAACTGAAGCATTGGCGATAATAGAATTTGCCGTAGTCGGATCGGAGGTGATCAATTTAATTTTTTTGTTAGAAACGAAAAAAATCTCCAAATCATAATACAAATTTCAGCCAAACTCGATTATTGGTAAAGAATTGTTTCTGGATTGAAAAACAAATAATACCTACTTCTGGTATGGACATAAGCCCTGGCCCTGAGGATTTTAATGTCCCCACTTTCGAGAGAGATAGTGCGGTCTAGGGGCCAAACCATATTTTGCAGATGGAGTTTTGTAGACATAGAGAGGGAAAACAGTCAAGTTGAAGTCGGAGTGTGTAGTGATGTACTTTGAGGGAATTCCCACATTGCAGTGTTTCACTCTTTCAGAGTTCTTCAGTTGTTTTTTTTTTTTTGTTGAATATATTACACTTTTTCTTTCAGCTACGTTTCATAAACAGTCACTTGTTTTGTTTTTGTTTTGTTTAAAATGATTTCGTATTGAAGTTTAAGTTTCAACTATCAATGCGTTATTGTGTCGCGTTTGCGAACTTTCACAGGGTTTTTTTTATAACAATTCAGCGTAATATGTAAAATAATCGTCAATCAGCAAATAAGAATACTTTTTCCTGGTCGGAATTTTCTTTTTTCCATATTTCAAATATATTTTGATTTTCTGTTGACAGTTTCAAATAATTCTCTTGATTCTATTTGTATTCTATGTCTCTTACAATTGTTATTGAACCTGCTAAATTTGTCATATGACTTCAGTCGTTGATTTAAATATTTAATTAATGAAACGGATGTTTTCGATAAAGGACGATTATTTCCTCTACATTTCTGATAAACGTGAAGTTAAATATGGGTTCCTTCTTCTTCTTCTATTTAGTAAATCAACAACCGAAAATTTGCTGTGATGTCCCAATTTGAACTCATACATCTGTGTCTGAGCCTTAATAAAGTTAGGGTTAGTTTTGGTATATAAGTGTTATTATTTATTTATTTTATTCTTTATGTTTCGTTATTAAACCATAATTAAGGTCTTGTTTTTTTTGCGTGCTAAACGTCCGCCGCGTTCTTTTTTCAGTTTTTATTAATTTTGCGTACTACTCGTTCGCCACGGAGGATAAAACAGTGTGCGGGAACTTTCATAGTGTAAATACATGAGTATAAACTATATATATAATATAGAAGAACTGATAAGCGCGATAGTAGAAGTTGTGAGAAAGGGAGTAGGTTCATAAAAAAAGAATTTATTGCAGAGTAAGCTGCTGAGTGGAGGGATTTTAAAACATCAAAAATAATGCGATACGTAGCACGTACAAACTATTTACGAAGTATGGAATGGTGAATAGAAGTGGCATTTTTCGGACAGACAAATAGTATATAATCACAAGATCATATCTTTGTTTGAGCCTTAGTAAAGTTAGTGTTAGATTTGATATATAATTTATTTATTTCAGTATTTATTTGATTAAACTCTTTTTAACCTTGCGTGTTACATGTCTGCGACGTTATTTTTTTTTAAATTTTTATTAAAATATGCATATTACTCGTCCGCCACGTAGGATACAACAGAACAGCCAGTAGTAAATTTCTTTCTGAGTGTGGGAGTACAAAATTGTAAAAGAGAGTAAGTTACCAATTTGACTGTAAACGCTTACATATTTTGATGACATGACTTAAAACTAGAAAAAAAAGCTGTTAGAGTACATATACTCAATTTGCGAAGTGTGGAATGACGAATAGTAGTGTTGATATTTAGACAGACAGATATGATATGATTAAGACTACGTGGACATAAAGGGCTATTCGCTCTGCTAATTTTGAATAGATGATCATTAAATCTCGTGTGATTAAACATCAGCCTGTTAATAAGGCAAATAATGTTACGTCTGTTACGTGGCGGTGTTGGTTGATATTGTTGACACAATGGGGCGTTATTCCTATTTTTGGGACTTTGACTTTGCCGACTTTTTAAAAAGCTTTTTGGGAATTAACATGTCATATGGTTTTGCATGTATACCTGCAAATACAACGAAAAAAAGGCAAAAAAAGAAATGATCATCTTTTCTTTTAAATGTTAAAATTATTTATATAATTTATGCTTACATTATGCTAACGTACAATTTTTAAGCTTATGTTACAGATCGCAATTTTTTTGGTTCATACCATTAGTTTGTAAGAAATGAAAAACAAGAAATAAAAATAATTTGTTTTAAAGTTGAAATATATTCACTAAATTTTTTTTATTAGAGAGTGGTAAATGTTAGTTTGCAAATTATGGTTCAATTAATACTCAAAATTATGTATTACAAAGTTGTTTACTTTTATATTAACTTAGTGTTATTTTTTTCAACTTTCTGTTTACGTTGTTTTTGGTTCTAGAATCAAAGGTTTTTGGTCAGACTTTCTATAAAACAAAATGGCAACATTACTGCCCATTGTGCTTACCATTGGGGGGTTTTCATCTTAAAAACAATAATGACGCCTGATTGTGTTTGGCCCCTTATTTATCTTCCTTGTCGTTTTCGCTACAATAGGACGATGTTTAAGTTATATTTTTAAGTGGTAGCTTAAACTAATCTTGTTTGTGAATTTTTTTTTTTTTTTGCATTATTTTCGTTTGCTTGTTTTTCTGTTATATTTATTAATTTTTATGCCAACTTGCAACAATTTTCATAAAATATTAGAAGTTGCCCCTACTTTTCATATGAAATATCGTCTAAAGTGTAGTGGTCAACAAAATGATAAGAACATTTCTATGGTATTTCTGCTTTAATTTATTATCTTAAAACTTAATCGTTCGCGCAAAGCGCAAATTTTGTTTCGCAAACAAAGATGCGCAGTATGTATGTTTTAAGAAAACAAGAAGACAAGATTAAAATGGTTTTGAATTGTTAGATCAAACAGTGACTGTATTTTCTTTATTATCTACCTGTCTATCTATAATAACATACAAGAAATAAAATGACTATGTTGACTAAATATTAAATGTGAGAAACTGCTTATGCTAATAAAATGACAAGGATGCTTATGCTAATCTTATAATGAATGCCTAGAATAGAAAAATAATGCATAATGGTAAACAGCGAATTATGATGGAGCAATAATACTACAAAAAAAATCTGAAAACATTTTTAAAGACAAGGAAACATCTCGTTTCAAACCGAAACTTAACTTTACTATACTCGTTTTTTGTTAGATTTTAAATAGTACTACTTACAGTTAATCATAGGGTTTATTCGTGTATATTGCACTTTATGAGGACATTAAGTGCTACACGAAAGTGTGCTTGACGATGTTGATGGTACAAGGTAAAATTAAACAAATATAATATAGGTCAAAGAAAATTTTACCGAATATAAAGAAGATAAAACCGAAATCTATTTTTTGAAAAAAAATTTTTAGTGAATTGATATTTAGTTTGACTGAAATTAAAATAGAACGGGGAAAAAAATGGTTGCGCAGGAGAGAGACAGATTGAGAAAGGGATGAAAGGAAAAAAAAAAATTAAGAAAATTACGTGAAATGAAAGAACGCATAGAAAGAAATATGGGCACCGAAAAGAAGTGTTTGCTGCAGAAAACATAAAAAAGTATCGACTGCTATTTCCAATAATCCCAAAGCGAAGTGACAGCAGATGGGCGAGATTCTGAAGTTATTGAGAAGGATAAATTATACATTTTGCATGAAAATTTGGCTGGCGTTAGCCCCTTGTATATAGCCCATATTTTTGTCTTTGCTAAAAGGTGGGCCCTTGATTCGCGGTTCTGCTAAGGCAGTGATTGAACGTTACAAAATGATTAGAAAAAACTAAACAAAAATAGAAATACAAGCACAGGAAATTATACAGAAACGTTATAAGCACATGTATATTATTGGTGAAAAGTTACAATACCCAAAGTGTGTATAAAAAATTTTGAAGAAACCTGCCATGTGCAGATTTCTGAAAGACTAGCACTGAGAGAGTAGAAATACTGAGTATCAAAATTAAACAACGCCTCTCAGCCCTACATAGTTTTGAAAATACTTTCTAACGGTTCAAATAAGCTGGACGTTTCTTGTACACTATTGCTATTTGCAAAAAGGTTAGAATTTAATGTTTTTTCCAAAGCAATGACGTTTCAATATTTTTATATATATTAGTTTCGTTACAACCTTTTGTGCTTTTTGGACGGGAATATCAGGATGTTGGAAAAGATCATCTGGTGCAGTTACAGCTACCTCAATTTTACTGTTGGCAACCTGTTTGCTCACTGCTGGGGCCATGGGGCTTTGGCATACTGTTGAATTCTTCGAAAAGGAAAAAATTGTAGGCGAAGATTATTTTCAGCAATGGAATACAGTAAGAAAATAGTCCTCAATTGCCGCGGAGTTGACTAACGTTTTTCGTTCATTATTAATAGATTTTAAAGGATAACACAAAAATTACGTATGATTGGTCCTATGTTGTGGCTTGGATTGGTGTCGGCACCTCTTTATTGTCCGCTGTACTGCTGTCCGGTGCTGCTGTGTGTTTGAAAAATGAACGGGAAAAAGAGGAGCAACTGAATTTGCAATATCTGATGCCAGGTAAAGATTACATATTTTACTTATTTAAAAGTTATTTGAATTAATTATCCACAAGTAGACATGTAGAGCTAAGCGAGGCAAAGCAAAAAAATTTTTTCTTAATTCACTGCCATTGTTTTCTTAACAGGTAAGATCACTAAAAGAAAGTTTTTCTGACAATTTGTTTTGGGGTGGAAGGGAAGATAATGCATTGTTAATATTTGTTAGTAAATGTTGAAAACGGCAACACGACAGCCGTTCTCTTCAGGCATCGGTGATCGAAAGAACTCTGCAGGTCTGATAAAAAAAAGATGGAAAAAATCATTTAACCTACGTCCCTGGAGCTAGAATGTTATGTAGAATTTTTTGAAAGTATTTATTTTTGTGGGATTGGCGACTGTTTGAATCCAAAAGTTTCGGTAAGAAAATGACATTCGTTAACTAATAGAAAACTCTTAAATAAACTTATCCAAAATCTCCTACTTCTCTTTATATGGTAATTTTAGACATGTAAAAATTTCGAGTTAAAAGAATGAAAATTGCAAGAGTTCTTCCTTGAGCCGTTCTGAGAAATCGTTTTTCGAGAACGACTTTATGCTCGAAAATGATCCCCTTACTGCAAAATTCAAAAACAAAATCGTATGCTTTACATTTAACGTGTTACAAACGTGGTAAAAACTAGCCAAAGACTCAAAAGTTTACAAAATGTTCCTACTTCTCAACAGTCATTTCATTCAAGCTACACTGACGTATTTTTGTTTAAAAACGCTTTTAAGTTAAAACTTAATACTTTCCAAAGACATACGATTAGAAAAGTAAAACATTAATTTTTTTTTGGGAAAAACCCCGAAAGTTAAAGGAACACATTTTTTTCATAGAATGAATTGTTTTCCACATATTTTAGAAAATCGATAGATATTTCGATCGATATTTAGAAAATCGATCGAGCATCGAGAAAGGAATTTCGTTTTTCTAAAATATCTACAAATGTAAATTCCACGGTGCATGTTGTTGAACTCGAAGTATCACTTTACATTTATACGTCTCTCAAAACAATGATATATAAAAAAAAAAATTGCGGAAAGGAACCTGCCAATACAAATTCTTCAAACATGAACGAGCAAATCATTATAGTCGGGCAAGACTGACAGTTGAACATCCTATCCCAGATCGCAACTATTCATTCATTTTCGTGCTACTACACCATTTCATTTTCATATAAAGGAGTAATTTTCATGAAAGCCTTTTCTTTGGAGCTCCTCCAAAACATGAACTGTCGTGATTCAAATTTATCATATTTAATTTTCTCTTTAGAGATTATTTTCTACTTAAAAAACGAAAAATTCGATGTCGCTGCCGTATAGATAGTTTTGATGTAAGCATTTACATAAGATGGTGCTTAAAAGACCTCAAATTTGATACATTTATTTACACTTGATAAGTTTTAAATCAAATTACTGTCGTGGACCAACTTTTATCACAAAACCAAACTTATTAATTTAAAATGCAACGATACTTTTGCTTAGCGATTTTGACGAGAACTTTTAAAAATTACAATTTTCTTTTCACGTATTGACTTCTTCAGAGTAAAGCGTTCTAAGTAGAACGGTTGTAAAAATGGTTCGATTCAATCTATTTTCAGTACAGTTTGTCCTTGGGCGTTACCGTATTAAAAAAATTAGATACCTTCACAATTACGACCTATACCGTTGAACATGAGAATAAAGAGATTGACATTAGACGGTCAAGTGAATAGACAGTTAAAGTCGATCCAGAGAGCGGTTCTGAATCGATCGATGTAATAAAAGGTCAGTCTACCTCAAGTCCTTCTGGCTGTTACGTACATTTCTGTACGAAGTCAATATTGCCTGTATAGGCTATACCACAATTGCGTGTCAATCAATTTATGGGTAGAAGGCCTGGACGTAAACTTAAAAATTTAAAAAAGCCTCTCAATTATTCTCTGTGAGAAGCGTTTAAGAAAATGAAGCGAGGAAAGCTACCGAGAAAGAATAAAAGGTACCGCTAAATATATAAAATGTTGGTTATTCAAGCAGAGGCTACATCAACAAATGCTTACAATAAAAAAATGTTATATATTTTAAAGGGAATGGCTTCTTTTAGCACTATAACTATTGAATCGAGCTGAAGGATTCGGACTCCAAGTACCAAAAAATTTCTTTAGCAGCAAGCAATCTTTCAAAAATTTTCAATGAATGTATTTAAGTGGGAAGACCTTTAACTCCCTATAATCAATTTTTTTCACGTCGAGATACCAATGAAATATACTTATTTCTATAAAAGTAACTCAAGTTGACTCACTTTTGCATTACAATTAGCATAGTCGCAAAAATTAACATAGGGAGCTCGAACTTGTTGCTACTAAATTCTCCAATGAATTGACAGATTATTGGGAGTGATTAAAGTGACTAAAATTAACTCACTTTGATTGAAATAGGTATATACAAACCGTTGGTGGTTGAACTTTTATGTTGGTACAAGTCTTAAAAGATTTCTAAACTATAACAACCAACGCAACAACCATGCGAAGGACGCAAAGAATCCGATTTAAAAGTGCTCTGAACAAGTGCCAAACCCCTTTCGCATAGCGAAACACCGTTAGGGCTTCAGTGTGGCTTATAAAAAAAATGAAATAAAATCATGATTGAAATTTAATGTTGACAGATAGGCACTCATCAGACAGAAGACGGAAAGTAAGCTATAAGTCAAGAATCATATAAAAAAAAAACATGAAATCAAAATTTAGTGTCTTAAAAACTAATAAATTATATAACTAAATTTTCCTAAAAATATGCCTTTTTTTAAATGAACTAAAAGGTAAAAAATAAATTTGATCTCAGCCGCTTTTCTGTGACTAAATATAAGACCTTGGGGCTTTTTACATTTGAATGTGTAAGAAATTAATTGTTTTAACGACCAAAGTTTTTATGTGTAGTCACATAAAAGTGGCTAGGATAAAATTTATTTTGCACTTTATATTTCACTTAAATTAGAGCACATTTAAAAAAATCTTTTTATATATTATAATTTATTTTACACTTCTTAGTCCATTGAAATTAGCGTTCTACTCTCCAAGCTGAAAATAATCCGCCACGTCGTAATCGTATATTGTAGCTTAGAATTAAAACCATTAGTTTATGTCATTCTGTTCTCCGAGAGCTTGGAAAATCTGGCCATGTCAGTTGATACGCCCGACAACTGTATATCTTGAAGATAGATAGTTCGGGATTTGGCCAACCTTGACGGTATGGTAATAGGCTAAAGGCAAGAGTGGCGTATTTTACTTTATGTAATACAAAGCGCAAAGTTATACTAAAAGCTTTGTAATCTAAATATTTGGTTCCACGGGGGTCAGGAGCCTGCTCACAGGTTGGAGAACTAGGAAGGTACGCCGGAAAGTATATCGTCCCTGTGAGCCCTGACTGCTTGGGTACGGCCCTTCGGGGAGTATCGTGGTGGCTGTGGTTTTCACATTTCCATAGCCATTGGAAAAATTCGAGGTGATGATAGGCCTTACCACCTACCAGAGTGGTGGTGCATTTGGCCATACCCAGTGCGCTGTCGGAGAACCTCGGGGTAAGAAAGGCCCCCTTATTAGGGGATTGTCTTTCCCCCCGGGGGGTGATCATTCGACTTAAATGAGTGCCTATGGTTGTAGGCAACCCGTCTGATTAAGGCATCACGCCAGGTGCGGACGTTAAACCCCAAGAGACATCTGTTCTCCGAGCTCTTTCATATAATAGCCAAACTTTAAGGATTGTTAAGAAAACTATAATCCGCTACTTTGTCGCCACCGCCTTCTCACTATGCAGAGAATTTTGAGGTATCGCAATGCATTGCATTGTTCGGAACTGCCCAAAATACCGACCAACAGCTTTCCACTCTATTTTCCTTGTGGTGGCCGCCATTTTGGATGTAGTTAAATTATAGTAACACCACTTAGAAATATTCTTTGGTTTATTGGATTATTTTAGATTCTTTATTCTTTAACTTCCGTTTAAAATACTTGCTTATATTATGATGTATCTAATGTATGGTCAGTATCTTATATAAGAAATAACTTAATGCTAACTTAAGCAATATAACTAAATTAGGTTATCGCTTAGAATAATAACGTAAGCATATAATATTTTATTAATAGCTTATTACTAGAATTACACTATCTTAACTAGGTTAGGTGTAAAATGTAAACTTAGCAATAACTTGTAAATTACGGTAGAGTGCGACAAATCGATAATACTACAAAATATCTTTCTTCCACATTGCACTGCCATCGTAATCGAAGCTGAGTGTAAAATTTCAGCAAAATCACACGCTTGGAAATGCCACAATTAGATTGGAGGTTTTCCTATGAAAAAACCCATTAAATAAGGGCTTCGAAAAACATACAATTATATTCGACCTAGGGCAGAGAAATAAAAATTGCAAAATAGTTTATCTATTCAGTATTTTTCTACTCAAATTTTAAAAGCTATTAGTAAAGATTTTGATCCAATTTGATGTCGATAATGGTTCTGAGTTTTTCTTTGACACGGTTTTTAAGGAATTGCGCCTATTATCAAACTTGGGCATTGGGTACTAATTGAGAATATGTAAGTATAATTCCAGCTTTATTTCTTAGTGTATTCGACTACGAATCCCAATTTAAAGAGGAAATCAAACAAGACAGAAGTTTAATTTGTTTTAAGCTGAATTTTTTACGTATGCACAATTAATAATACGAGGTTGAACAAAGAAGAAACTTATATTCGGCGGGTGTCGCACTCACATGTCCACCAATATTAAACTCTTTAGTGCCCTATGCTTTCATTTGTGTTTATAAGAAAGTGAATGGAATAAAATGTATCACCCATCTTATCTTCCATAGTTTAGTCAATAAAAGGCATTGTTAAGAAAAAATTGATCCACTACGTCGTTTTGTCCACCATACTTATTTTAAAATTAACGCATTTTTAGGCAGATAGTGCATCTTCATTTAAGCAATGTACAAAATAATTTTAAACGTTCTATCTTGTTTACTTTATGGTTAATAGGCAACAACATAAGGAAATAATAAAGAGTTGCGTTCAGTGTACGCTTTAGTGTCGGCTTGTACTCTGACAAACTTGGCCCATTTTCATTATCAGCCTACATACTGATACCTCCAATTTTTGTCCCAATTTGAAGTCGATATCTTCCTTTTTGCGATCAAAAAAGTGTCAGCAACACACACCACATAGACGAGCGGACGTAGCTTAATCGATTTAGAATTTCGCGCTGATCGAGAATATATGTACTTTTCCTTCCTTTTGAGAGTTGCAAACATTATGACAATATGAGTATATCACCATCCACCGGTGTGTGCATAAACATAGGTGCGATGTGATTATTTTCAACTTATTTTTCACTTTTTCTAATTCAAATTAACATTTTCTTCACCCAATTACAATTAAATTAGAAATTAACTTTTTCATGTTTTAAAATTTTTCAGAAATATATTCAAGGACCGAAAGTTGTAGACGAAAATTCGAACAATTGTCGGTGTTATAGCTTCTTTATTGTGGACATGTGTGTGGACACCTCTAGGTTGTTTTTTGATCTCATACTTTTAATCGATCACGAAACATTTGTGCCAAATGCCGTCTTTCCATTTTCATTTTTGCAAATTTGAGGATTCATAAAATTTACCTGCCAAATTAATAGATTTTTGAGACATAGGCATAAAACATTTAG